CAATACTTTTCAGATTCTAATCCAAACAATGGCAGCAGGTTGGCACATAACAGCTGGCTTATGGCAAAGCAGACCCCATCGATGGTTGACCCTACTTTCTCCTACACAACCTATTGATATTTCAGAAATTATCTGAAACCTCTCCTAATTTTATTGATAATGTCTAAAACTTCCCCAACTTTTGGATATCGCACAAAAAAAAGGCCACCAATCAGAAAGTTTTATAAATCAGCTCACTTAAACAATGGGCTTGGTTATCAAAAGCTCACATGGCTCAGCTTACTAAAATTTAAGTTATCTATATCTATACTATTTATAAAAGTGCAGATGTAGAGTGAAACTTTTTTTTAATTAAAATTACTTTTTATTTCTTTATTTGATAAAGGGTATAAAACTTATTTTATTATAGTTTTAATGTCTACTAAAATACCCATATTTGTGTATTTAGCCTATCTCTAATTGTAAAATACAATTTAAATTATTACTTTCCACCTCATTTAATCCACTCTCATTAAGCCATTTTCACTAATAAATGCTACTAATTAATTAGATCTATGTCAATATTTTTAATAATATAAATCTATATTTTAAAACTAACTCAAAAACAAAACTATTCTTTATCCAAGTGGTGGCTAAGCAATTCAACCATCTGAATCAAATTGATCAACCTATAAAGTTATAGTTAGGTAATAAAATTTTTAAAATAAAAATAAATATGAAAATTACAAAAATGTATAAAAAATTAGACACATTTAAGATATTTTTATAAATCAAATTAAAAAAATAAGTGCAATAAAAAAGAATTATTTTTATTAATAATGGAAATGGAATACATAATTTAGAACTAACAAAAAAATGAAATTATTTTACTATTTGGCAAAGATCAATAGTTTAACTTTTGGGTCAAATGTGCTAAATAATAAAAATTAATAAAATATAAAAATATAAAAATGAAAAAATACATTTGTCAAAAAACATTTAGGCACATGTATAATATCATATATTTATTATATTAAACAAAAAGTAAGTGGCACATATCAGAATTATTTTTACACATAAAAATACAAAAGGTTATGAAAAAAATTGAACGCATCTATAATTCTATACTTACACTACTATTAAAAATATGAATAAGATTGTGAAACTTTTTTTTACTAAAATACTCAGTTTTGAATTTCGTCTCTATTTAATTGTGAGGTTTAAATTGTAAATTGAACTACTACTTCTCACTCCATTCAATTTTCTCTATTTAAATCTTACATGTTTTTTTTTTATAAACAAACAAAAAAGATAAAACATTACAAAAAGAAGAGTCTAACCAAGCAGGTAGACCTGTCAATGATACCTGAAACTTTACAACTCGATCTGATTATCATATATTTAGATGAGGTGTTTATGTAATCAGATTTTGATTTTGAAATCTACATCCAATTAATATTAAAAACAAAAGGTAAAAAATATATAAAGTTTATAGACAATTTTGGATACATTATTATTATCATTATCATCATATAGAATTGCCACGTACAAAGTACGTGCACACTTACTAGTTAGATAGAAAAGCCCAAACGTTAAATCAAAAAGTCCTGTCTTAATGCTACTCTTGGATATTAGAAATGTAACATGTGCCGGGCTAGTATGACCCACTTTTGTGGGCTGCCCATGGGTGGCACGATTTTTTAAAAAATTTAAAAATGATAATAAAAAGGTTAAAATAAAGTAACAAGATAAACAAGAAGTTGAAAAAAATCTTAAAATTTTATTTCATATCAATTTTTTGTATACAATTGTTTATTTATGAAATAATAAAATAAAATTTAAATTTACAATAAAATCGGAACACAGTAGTATAGTAAAATTGAAAATAGAAATTTATATGCATACATACAATTAAATATATATAAATAACATATTAATACATGTGTGCTGTGATGTGCTTGGGCCACGGGCCATGATGCCACGGCCCACTTTATCATGCCATGCCGTGCCGCCCAACGGGCCTCAAAACCCCAATGTGGTATGACACTGGGGTTTAGGCTGGCCCTGACACAGCCCAAGTCATGCTGGGCCGTGCCTCCCCATGGGTGGCCCAACCCACTTTACAGATCTACTGGGCAACATCTATCTGACTATCAGTAACATACCTTCACACGTAAAACAAGATAGGCTTATATATTCTTATCCTATCGAGCTTTGGACTAGACTAGCCCACCCTAGCAATGGTTCAGGCTCATTTAGCTCAACATGCTCGACTCATTTATAGCCTTACTGCCAAGAGACAGAGGTGATTCAGTGACAAAGATTCTTCCAACCTTAACCTTTCCAATTTTCTAGCTAATGAATCATAACCACAGAGGGACTCAGCTTTAATCTTTCACAGCCTTAATGAGCCCTTGGAGGCTTGGAGCTTTGTGGGTTCAGTCAACAGAACAGATTGTAAAATATAGATGTAAATCCATAATTTCATAGTGAAACTATAGGAAAAAGCAAATGAACCATAATACACTTCTTTGCAAAGAATGCATAAATTTGAGCCAATCTTCCTCTACTAATCAAATGATCTACAAGAAAGTTTTGATTAGTAGACTAATTTAGAAAGCATCCAACCCCTAGTTTTTTTTTTTTCTTTTTTATAGATTTGGAATTCATAGAAGATATTTGTCGATTGAATTCGATAGACTTAGTGTGGGGTTAGAATTCATTTCAGGTCCTCTTTCCGTTCGAAAAATCATTTTTGCTAGCCCAAAACAGCCTAAAGATAAACTTTGGAGAGGATAGCTGATTTTTTTAAATTTCTAGTCGTCTCTATTTACAGGATGATTCTGCAGAAGGGGAGGTGCATAAACTAAGAACAATCACCATTGGGAAGATGCAGAGTTGGGATTTCCTCCTCACAGACTTGGTCCTGGCACCCGCTTCATAGCCCTTGCAACCATACATTGGGAATATCTTCCTACTTGTAATTTTTTTTAATTCATGAGGAGATGTTTCCAATGCACGGCTGCATGTGCTGTGAGGTGGAAATGATGACCAATTCTTGAGGAGGAAATTTGGGTTGGAAGTTGCAAGCAGGAGTGCAACTTGGCTTTGGTTTGAGTTGAGTATTTGTTAAAATTTGACTGGGTCCAAGTCCGATCCTGAGGCAAAGTGTAGTTGAAATTCTTCAACTCGGAGCCCAACTTGCACCTCCTAGATGAAAACCTGATCACTCCTCATCCTCACAAATTATGGAACACTACATTATAATGAAGCTACACCAATTAAGACAAGGAGATTACTTCCATGGACAACGTTAGTTTGTTCTACCATACATTACTACTTGTGTGATTACACTAGTTGATGTGGAGGCCCCATGTCTCCCTCCGATGTTAGTACATACTTTTCTTTCCAAAAAGGCTGGGCCCCTTGATTTCATACCGGAGGACCCACCATACATTGTACTCTGTATCTTCCAACGTTGAATTGTTGAATGGATTTGGCTTTGACTTCGAGCTTTAGGCTGCGTTTGGTTGCAATGCAAATTTATTTGCAATGTGCAAATATAAAAAATGCAAATTCTTGTTTAATAGAAAGAGCATATTTAGACATGGATATGCGTGGCCTTGTTATCCTGCCTTGAAATCCAGCTAACTGAGCAGAGAGGGAAGGAACCTGCAATCTGCAACCAGAGATCTGATTCGCCAAGGAGGGTCTGAGTTGACCTCTTTTAGACTCGATTTAACAGTTGTAAAATCTCCCTCAAGAATAACTGAGTGAGGATGCACCCCCTCCCCCCTCCAGGGCTAACTGGAGACCAACAAGAGCGCAGCATGAGCTTCAAATTCAATTTCATCTGGATTCCCCACCGGGAGGGTTTATTTTTAGAACAAAAACAAACTACCGCCTCAGGAAAAACAATTGGCTCAACACCCCTTTGTTGCAAGTGTTTGGGACGGTTGACGTTTTTGGTGTTGCTGTTTCGACTCGCTCAACTATGCCAAACCATAATATTGTGTCAATGTTTCTAGTAGAAACACGTTGAATGTAAAGAAAATGCTGTATTTAGGATATAGCAGTTTGGCACATCAGAAGTTGCGGAAACATAAAATGTGTTGTCATAAAACTCAATCACGGGTCCGGATGTAGTAGGCACGTTATTTTTGTCAAAATAATTAAAAATAAAAACAATGAAAAAAAACTTAAATGTGTTTGGAGTTGGGACTCGTTTACATTTTATTTTTTCATTGTTTTTTATTTTTAATTATTTTGACAAAAATAATAAAATAATAGATAATTTGTCTAACGGGAGCAAAAAAGTTTGAATGAAAGACGCATTAACTGGAACATGTGTCACACAGCTATTATATACTCATTGTGCTTACCTAACGTGCCTACTACATCCGGACCCATCGATCACATTATTTTTGAGCAGCAATGTTGTGCTTTTGTTTTTGAAGAATGAACGTTCCGAAACACTTTTTCAGTTCAGCCCATTATACTTGAGAAGCCCAATACGAAACACTTTTGAAGAATGAACCTTGGTTTCGCATCTGGGTTAACATTTGAGTTGGGAAAACGTATATATATATATATATATATGGAATCATATAAAGAATCCGAGATCTTCGTAAGTGAGGAACCGGATCAAACTTGAACAGAGGACTGGTATATGTTACTTAAAACAGATAAATCAATATGGAGATAAATGTATGAAAGGTGACACCTACATATGCAAGCAGTCTTATAATATGTATAGCTAAAAAGCTAATAGGATATAGTCAATGCAAAGAACCATTGTCTGTTGCAAGGGTAAAATCTTGGGCTGACAAGCATGAAAACGAATGTTCAAGACTGAGAGTGGCCACTTCAAAAAATTGCCAAAGGCTAAGTCCATATCCAGTCCCAGCACCCTGGATAGCTGGCTGGGATCATCATTGGGTAATGACCCTTTTGATACAGTTATTTAGTATTTAAAAATCTGACCTACAATGAAGAAAATTTGTTACACTCAGCAGGGACACTGGAAAAAAAATGCAGCAAATCATATCAAAAGCATCAAAATTGATACATAATTTTAAGAGCCCCTCCCCGCATAAATACAACAAAACTGTACATTCTTGTGAGGTATAAAACCAGCAAGACTGGCTGAAACAACGTAGATAAATAAATAGCCAAGCATAATTACATGTACAAAGTCAGCATGACAGACCAACGCAGTTATCCACCCACAACACACCAAGCTTTATCTTTCTCATAATCTCTGGACAAGCATGAAAGTTGGTCTTGCAAAATATGCAAAGAGCTGTACCTGGAACTTTGTGATCTTCAATGTATCAGAGCTCAAGGAAGTGCTACAGTTCTGGGTTTTGAGAATAATGTCCGTATTCCTCCCAAAAAACGAACCTTCGAAGATGGTTTCTTTTCTTTGGAGCGCTTGCAAGAGTCCTGTGAGAATTCAGGGATAGGTCCAGGATGAGGAAGTGAACTTTCAAGAGGATTGTCATATCTTACATCTCTCAGGATCCTAAGCAATTCCATTGCACTTTCCTTCCCTCTAATATTCCCATTTACTGATATATTAACTAGAGATGGGATGATGCCTTCATCCATGACCAACTGGCAATATTCAGTCCGTTGAGAACATAGAGAAAGGAGAACAGCAACTGCATGTTCTTGTTCCTCTTGACTTTCTGTCTCAAGTAGTTCTGTAATAGAAGCTAAGCATCCATTGGTTTCAGCAATTGCAACCCTTCCTGCTTGAATTTCACACAAGTTACTCAGGATTTTTATGCAATACCCTGCAAGTGAGCTATCACCCAAAAGTGGAATAAACTTCCAGATGCACCCCATGGATATAACACGGGACCCAGTGTCTCTGTTTAAGGTCAAATTATACAATATTCTAGCAGCAGGAGCATGGAGTTCTCTAACTTGGTTGTCAAGAATATTTAGGATGGAAGGAAGAGAACCAGACATCACAATCTTGGAATTCCAGTATTGGTGGCTGGATAATACTTCAATAATTGCTAGAGCTTCTTTAGTAACTTCAGACTCGAGAAAAACAGCCAACAGATGAAACATCTCTTCACTTAAAGATGGTATTTCACTGCATAAAACAACAAAAAGAGGTTTAGTTTCAGAAAGGTAAAGGAAATGCAGAAGCATGATCATGAATACTTGTAATCAAGGGAACTAGAAACAGATGTGGGGACAAGTTTGAAATAAAACATTTCCCATTCTGAACAGTCTAACAAGTTGACGTTCTAGGGTGAGAGTGACACCCTAAGAACCAATCTACTGACAACAGGAAAAGATCATGCCATCAGTAAATTTAGAAGTTGTGCAAATATTCCAGTCTACCACAAAAGCACATGGCATTGCCTAAGCGAAACTAATTATGTATCATTTGATGAGCAGGTAAAAAACATTATGAAGCATTTCAAAATGAGGAATGCTAGTCAACAATGAGTTTATGCAATTATTATATTCTTCACCTTAGAGATATAGTGGGATCCATGAAAAGCAACACTACAAAGCAAAGTTGTACATACTTTTCATGGGCCACACCTTGTCTGTAGGGTGAAGAAAACTAAGAGTTGAATCAACTCATTGTTTACTAATGTTGTTCAAAAACAACAAAATCAGAATGATTTTTCAAAGTCATCTACGCTACTTATCAAATTCTCAATCTATTTCACAAAATGTTCAAGTGTTATGCATGTTGTAGAAAATAGTGAGATTTCAAGAAAATACTTGTCAGTCATACCTATCAGCAAAAAGAAAAAGACAAATTACCTGCTCTTCCTTAGAAATGCCAAAAGTACTTGAACACCATCCCTTTGTGCTTTTGTATCACTAACATCATGTGCATACTTCAAAAATCTAAACAGTGAATCAATAGAACTATCAGATAACAAAGAATAACATGCTTGATCATTGTCATTGAAATGGTTTCTTATGTCTTCCACAGCTTTGCATTGTGATGTCCACGGAAGTGCAGCAAGTTTAGATAGCCACACTGAATTTTCCCCACTGCTAAAACTGTCAAAAGATTGGCATTCATGAGAATTTCCATTCATCTGAGAGGATACAAAACTTGAATCATCTCTGATCTTAACATTTGAAGGATCAGAAAAATAACTAGCATCTGAAGAGTCGATGGATACAGTGCTGACATCAATTCTGAGATGTACATCATTTAGAGAACTTCCGAGGCTAGCGATAGAATTGGAAGATGAAGTTTTCCACGGGTAAAGTGCTGCAGGAATTGGTTGTGAACGCAGGTTAGGAATTGTGATGCGATTTCTTTTACACCACTTAGAAATAAGGTCCTTCAGTGCAGAGTTTGGAGTCAGAGAAAAGTGCTGCAGCTTCTTTTGAGTCTTTGGACATGTGTCATTACCCTCATTGAACCACTTCTCTATCCACACCCTTTCAAATGTCTGCCCGGAAGCAATGATAACAGGATCATGCATGAGCCTTGAAGAAATTGGGCATCTAAATTCTTCAGGAGGTGTACAAGATGTATCAGTTTGAGACTTGTAGTGTCCATATTTAACATCTATTTTCTTCTCAATAGATTGACTGCATACAACATGCTTGCGTACATGGTCTGTGCTTGTAAGTGAACTTTCACACTGATCACTACTGGCATTCTCCATTTGCTCACCCCCATATGATTTGCCATATTTCTTCACAAGATATAGGAGGTACTTCAAGATCCTTTCCTTCGTCTTCTCAGTGTCATGAAATTTATCAATTAGCTTCTTAATATCTCTTCTCTCTATCAATAGAGATTTTGGGGATGTAAGTTGCAGTCTCGCAGCCGCAAATTGAAATGCCTCAAACTCAGATGGTTCCATTGAATCTGATGTAGATATGTCTTTCCGAATCAGTGCTAGTAAAACCCTCCCAGCCTCTTCTTCAGAGGATTCCAATGTAAATTTTGCAACCCTAAGATCATCAACGATTCCAGAGATCTGCAGATAACATTTTACTATAAAACTATACCAGAGAATTTTGATTCAGGAAGCAAAGACAAATACTCATAATGCAGTTAAGAGATCTATAAGAGATTATATGCACTTTATTACAAGCAAATTGCAATACAAAACTAGCGTCTATCAGATTCTGTAGATCAATCATATATGAAAAAAGCATATTTATAGATTATAGTATAACATAAAAACTAAGTAAATTAAGATGTTCATTTCATAGTGGAGAAAACAGGATACCTGTTGGTAGACATCAAGAGTCTACAAACAGAAGATCTTAGATATGTCAGACAGCTGCAGGCAAGTAAAAATCCACTACCAATTGGGGTCCTTTTGAGAGATCCAAGCATTATGATCAACCCGATCAAGTGATCTTAGGATGATCTCCAGATATTCTTTGCTGAACAATTCAGCAATGGTTACTTTGACCCTCCCAAAACAAAGGGATACATGCAAAGAAGCTCCATTTAGTGAGTTGGAATCTTATTTATAAGCCTATTACCTATGGTGGACTGGGGACAAGAAAACTTAGAAGCTTTAATACTGCACTCTTGGGCAGGTGGCTGTGGCAGTTTTGTACTAATCCTAATGACTTTTGGAGGGAGTTACTTTCTGAGAAGTATGGCTAACATGATAATGGCTGGGATGAAAATGGTTCAAAGATGTCCTATGGCTGTGAAGTATGGAGGGGAATTTATATAGTCGCCCCTGATTTTATGAAAGACAAAAAGTATCATCTTGGTAATGGTGGTAGAATAAAATTTTGGTTGGATCCCTGGAAAGGAGATCTGACTTTAAAAGAAAGGCTTCCAGAGCTGTTTGTGTTGGCTACTTGGTTAGAAACAAAGGAACTGTGGTAACAGATTACTATTGGGTAGAAAGAACATCCTATACTTGGAAAATGCATTGAAGAGGAAAGGCAAAGTTTTCAGACCTAAGGTTGTTTTAGCACTAAAAATGGATTGAAGAGGAAAGGCAAGGTTTTCAGACCTAAGGTTGTTTAGCACTAAAAATGCATTGAAGAGGAAAACCTGCATAACCCAAAAGATTCCTCAGATAGCATCTAAGGTTTTTTCTTTCTTCTTTGAAAACATCCTTCTCCAAACCATAGTTGTCAAGGCGGCGCCTAGGTGTCTACGGGCTCACCTCGCCCAAATGCCAAGTGGTTTATATACCACTTATACAAAGTTTTGTAATGTTTTCATATTTTTTTTATATTTTACTGTATAATATTAATAAAGGCATGATACACTGTATCATTCTACTATTTCTTTCACAAAATATTATCTTTTATTTTTAGCTGCTTATTTTATTAGGGTTCTGAGATATTCGAAAGTTAAAGAAAAGAAGAAGTCTAACAGAGTTTGAGTGATACAAAGTTTGAAGTTTTAGAACACCAACCAATCACAGAAGGTATGTTCTTCATCTCCTCCTTCTTCATCTTCTTCTTCCTCTTCCTCTTGGAACAAAAAACAGGGGCTCCAGCCCCTTCTTCTGGAACAAAAACAGGGGCACCGCCCCTTCTTATTTTTCTTCTTCTAGAATGAAAACAGGGGCTCCACCCCTTCTTCTTCTTCTTCTTCTTCTTCTTCCTTTCTTTGGAACAAAAACAGGGGCTTCGCCCCTTCTCTTTCTACTGGAACAAGAACAGGATCTCTGACCCCTTCTCTTTCTTCTGGAACAAAAACAGGGGCTCCACCCCTTCTTCTTCTTCTTCCTATTTCTGTAACTAAAACAGGGGTGGGTATCCACCATTTTTGAGTTCTTTTTTGTGTTCTGATTTTTGAAAGGCAAAGAGTAGGGGCTCCACCCCATATTTTCCATGCTACTTTTGGTCTTTTTACTTCTTTTCCTACAGTAGAAATAGGAGATCAGCCCCTTGTTTTTCTATCCTTTTTAGACACTAAGCAATGCCTAGGCAGGCGCCTAGTCAACTAGGTGACTAAGCACTCCCTTGTCGCCTAGGTTCGCCTTGGCACCTTGAAAACTATGCTCCAAACAATTGATGCAGATTTTACTTTATCTTTGTTTTTATCATTTTGTTTCATGTTTTATGCCATGAATGGCCAGGAAAGGAAGAATTTACCGAAAATCATTCCATGGTTTCCTGTTGTTTTGGATAGTTATCTCAGGTTTTTGAAGACTAAGGCATCCAACAGTAAGATCACCTTCATCCATAGTTAATTGACAGTCAGGTTAAGCAAAACATGGACCTCAGGCCATAAAGAAGTATGGTACTATCAATGATTAGTTGGAAGAGATCAAATTATTTCCAACACCAAAGGAAGATGACAATGTCCTTGTGCTTGTTCAGTTGAGATAAATATAGAAGAGGGAAATCTCCAATTTCTCTAGATTTTCATATCCCTTCTATTCAGTCCCAATTTTTTTATATTCATCTTTTTTTATAAGTATATTCATATTTTAATTTATTTATGACAACCATAATTAAGCCATTCAAATGGCAATTGAACCAGGAACATTCAGCCCCTATGGTTCTACTTGGAAAAAAGAAAACAAAAAGATAAAGAATTTAAAATTGTCAAATCTGACTACAGGAAAAATGGTATAACACCCTAAGTTAGAATTTCTTGAAGGTGAGGAACAAAATTATGCATGTTTCTTAGAAATGACACTGCTACCAAACTGTCTTTAACATTTCCAGAAACAAGAGAAGGATATCATGTGGCTTTGGAAGGAAAGTGATGAATGCAAACTTCAACTTCTCCAAAGCATTACTCTTCATAAAAGTAAAGATTTCAAACAGCCTTTCCTTGACTGTTAGTTATCAGCTGGTGGGGGGATACATGCCTTGTTTAGTAGAACAAATGTTCCATCATGGTTTTGTATTGTCCTTATTACCTTCAAGTTCTAATAAACTTGCATTATGCCTAACCAAGAAACAAAAGACATTGTATTCCCCTTTTTCAGTTTTTCTAAAACATCCTGCATAACCGCATAAAATAGATAAACTGGTCAGGGTGTAATAGATATCAACAAACCTGTGCAGCCAACAGTATTGGAACCATATCTTCAATATGACTTAAACTTCGTTCTAGTTCATTGTGTACTCTTGTAAACCTTGCAAGTATGGCCTCCCCTGTAATTGCCTGAAAATAATTTATGGAAAGGACAAGTTATCTAAAGAATGACAATCTAAAAGATACTACATGAATGGAAAAAATTAAGTACACATCACAAAAGGGAACATAAAAAACTATAAAATGCATATATTTACATAACAGTATAAAAAATGCTAGCTAAAAATATGGTTCTGAAATAGTTTCAGAACATAATCCAATGAAATAGAGTTCTCATTTTTCATAGGGATACCAACAACTAAGTATGCAGCACCAGATTTACCAGGAAGTCATTGAACTTACTAGTTCGTAGACATTTTCCCTTTATATCTCATCAATCATCATCTGTAAAGTTTAAACTTATATACCAAATTCCATTTTGATTCCTTCAATAGTTTATTTTCCTGCTTGAACTGCACCAATATAAACAGCCAAGTACACAATTCCATTTTATATTTCCTAGCACATCCTATAAGCTCTACAATCTTACATGATAAGAAGCCAGGAATTTGATTCTGATGATTGATTTCTTTAGCTTGGTTATGCACTAAACAGACTGAATAGAGGCAAATTGCCTTCACCAAAGTTCCTAGTGGTATATACAATAATATGGCATCCCTTACTTTGGGTTTATACATGAGGCAGATATTCATTAATCCAGGCACACTAAATGATGGCCCCACCTATTGATTCTCCTAGTCCATCAATCAGCATAAATTCATCTTAGCCATCCAGTTTCATCCTAACAACCAGATTACCACCAAATTCAACAATTTATTTGGCCATTGTTCATCAAAAGCTGTTTTAAATATATCCATATCTTTTAATGTCTTGGTAGTGAACACATACCAAGTATAGCCTGCTAGATTCTGAACAGTGCTGAATAAGTAGTTTGGCTTTCTCCATTGCAAGGTTTATTGAGCACAGGGCTTCAATTCCCAGTGTGCATCGTGGTCGAGCAGATTCAATGTCTGGGAATACTTGAGAGATTCTATCAACGAATTTCATCAGCTCCATGCACATTAAACGATGCACCTGCAGTCATGGAAAGCTTGCAGATGAGATGAACAAACAAATAAATATAGAAATAGAAGGCAATAGAAATTTATTCTAGTGATACACAAAATTTTTGAGGGAACAACAATGGTATGACATAAGCAGTTTAAAGCTGGTGATACTAGGCCAGAAACTACCATTTAGTAATGTAATATACCACCCAAACTGGCCTTTCCAAGAAACGAAAGGACTTGGACACCACGGCCAGCATAGCATATAACCTGAACTGTGTTCACATGTAAAACGTTCTAAGTAGTAAGTATTTTGGAGTTCAAATACATAACCAGGCCTGGCTGGTATGCAGTCCATGCCCCATCTGAGATTTGATCATGCAGGTAATTCTCAGTACAGTACAGTCCTTCCCTTCAGGCCTCAATACTGAATTAGAACCTACCACCAATTCACCACCCCTAAACACGAAGGTTCAGATTCTTCTTTGTCCTTATTTTGTCATCTTCTTTGCCAAAAAGAAAAATAAATAAAAATCAAGCAAGAAAACTTAATAGTCTTTAACATTGAAACTACATCCACTTCTCAGAAAAAATAATCCTTGGCTAAATAAATCAACTCCAAACAATCTATAAATACCACTACAAATTACTTTGACCCAAGTGACTAGAGCATGGTGTGAGAATGTAAAAGAAAATGACAGCAACACTGGAGAACCTTACACATAAGTACATATATACATATAATTTGTTTTAGTTGTTATAATAAGAATTAATTATATATTTAAAGAGTTTATAAATAGTGATTAAAGCATATTAGAGAGAGAGAGAGATGTAATAATGATTTGACTAACAGGCAAAAGGTGACATATTGTGTTTATTATTTTCTGATTCTCCAAATCTCCAGTGATGAAATGTCACTTTCTGATTCTCCAAATCCACACTTGTAAATTTTTAAAAATTCATGAGCTCTTTCCAGGGGTTTCTAAGTTTGTGTATTCAATGTGGGAGAACCATCCCTTGTATGGAGATTGGAGCACTAAGCTCTTGACCAGAGGAAGAGGAAAGCTGCTCTTCTTATCACAAAATTTTAAGTCCTCCACTGAAAGGATGTAAAGACGATCCATTGTTTTTTTTTTTCTTTTTTTTTTACATTCTTATAAGTATTCCACATTAGGACGTAATTAACTAATCTAAATCCAATTCTGGCCCATATTTCCACTGAAACTTAATTAGAAAAAGTCAAGCCAGTCAACAACTTGCTTTATATATATATATATATGGTAAAGAAATTACATAAATCAAGTAAAAGAAGGAACAATGAAAACAAAGAAAAGGAAAAGACAAGAAAACTAACAACACCACCTAACAAACAACTTGCTATATAATTGACTAAAGTTATGAACAATTTTAGAGTTACCAAGATGATAAAATTCTACATTTAGGATAAATAAACACGTTTAATCTGGGACATACAGAATAAACAGCAATAATATCAATTTGGCAGAGCGATATCTACCTTAACATCAGAGCATGGTAGTGGTTGTACAACTTCAGCAACATCATTCCCCATCAAATGATAAAGTATCCTTGGATCTGAACATTCATTTTCACATTTGAAAAACCCAAATTTAGCATTCCTTAAATAATATTCAAATTAGTAATTTGCTGCTATATAATCCTCTAAAAGTCTTACCGAGAACAACCTTTTACATGCAGTTTATTCAATAAGTTGCTTGACTCTTTCTAGGAAAATCACTCACATATGGATGCATTTATAAACTATTATGTATGCACTGATATGCTATTACAGGAAATAAAGTTTTCTGTCATTATAAAAGTTTTAAACATAACCATAACACCATGGAATGGAAATCCACTGGTAGTAATTAATATTAGTCGTTAAACCCAATTGCAACTAACTTGGTTCAGCTTGTGAAACTTCCTAATGCAATTTTAGTGGCTTCCTAGAATATAGAATACAACTTTTATACAAAGTTAGGAAGAGTAAGCTTATCGTCTTTCCTCTGTTAGCATATCGTTGTTATCTTTAACTGTATGACGGAGCCGCCACCCCCCCCCCGGGTGAATGTTTTGTCCTCTTTATATAATGAATAAAATTTCCTCTTTTTTTTTGAAGCCAAAAAAAGTTAGGAAGAGTTAGGTCAATTGATTTCCGCGGGGCCTCAAAACCATGACAGAATTTAAACCAAATGATGAGAAATCCATGCGGAAAAAGATGAATTTCATCAATAAGGATTAGTCGAAGAATATCCAAAAGGAGAATATGAGCAGTCGAATAATCAGAGAGCAGAAGTACTTACCCTGCTAAGTGGAAAGCAGAATACAAGGTGGAAAATTTTCTCTAAACTTCTGATCTGAAGACAACAATTCAGGATCCTTAAGACTTCCTTTTCTCAAATATTGTGAGAAAGTAAACTGAAGACGGTCCACCCAAAAATTCAACTATGCAAAATCACCACACTTAAGAAAAGCCCAACTACGAAACCAAAAGAACTTCTTCAACTGAATCGGGTTTGACTCAGAATTAGGCTGTCATGGTATCTTCCGAGCAGCTCTACCGTAAATAAGCCAAGAGAAGAGCACGGAGAACAAGCGGCGTCTCAAAAAAGAACAACATCCAAACCCTGAGAGCATAATCCTTTGAACCAAGTGAACTAGCTGACGAAAAGAATCAGCAAAGCTCAAAAGCCTCAAAACCGTACCTTCATCGATAAGCCAAAGCCATAAAAAGCAAAGCTAACCCAGATACTTAGCATATCAAAGAACCCAGAAACAGATTCAAATGAACCGTTTACCCTCCGGAGCATAGGATAATTAAACGGTCTCTAAAATTCAGAGGAGAAAGAAAAGGACTCGTTTTATTCAGGAGAACAAAGTCGATCGAGAGAGATAGAGAGATAGAGAGATAGAGAGAGTCGTCTCTACAGCTCCTTTGTGTGGATATGCTGGGTCATCGACTACTAGGAGACAACGGGAAAGAGTGAAGAAGAATTTTGGCCTTCGGGTCTCAGTCTGTACAAGAAAGAGAAGGAAGTCGAAGCCTCGACCGCTGACATTTCTAAGCGCCACAACCAAACGCCTGCCTACATATGATTATTATCAGCTCTCAGCAGACTCTGTTGAATGCTTTTCTTTTCTTTCTTTCTTTTTTTTTTTTTCTTCTTTTTTCTATTTTTAGTGGGGGCGGGGAAGTGATTTGGACTCTCGGTCACATTCCTTTTTTTTTTTTTTTTCAAACAAACGAGAGCACACCCCTAAAGACAGAAAGTCAAAAACACCCCCATATTTTTGCTTTGATCAAAATGAAAAAAGTGGTTTCTTTTGTCCCCCTCTCTTTCTATTCCTGATTTACCCTTGTTATCAAAACTTATCATCATCGAGGGGATTTTTAGATAATAAAAAAAAAAAAGCAAATCTCCTATAAGTTCCAAGAACAGCTTAATATTCCAGAAAGAGTATCAACTATCAGGAATTTCCTCTTTCCTTCCTCCTGCTTTCTTTCTCCTTTTCCCTTTTTCAATTTAAATAGTTTTCTTCCTCTTCGGATTTGGGAATGCTTTTTCCTCCACTAAAACCAATGAAACTTGATGTGACGAGGAGAGGTTATAGATTCTAACTTCTAACTTCTGAGATCACACATGGGAGAAAATGGTTTAGTGGGGGATTATGGATATGAGGATATCCAGCCCAAGATATATAGCTCTTATCTGAAAGCTGCGCTATGATCACCATTGTCGGCCAAGTTGATTAGATCATGACAGCCATTCGATTGGTATGCATCTGTTGAACACACCAATTGATGTCTGATGTCATTTCCATCGTTTCTTCCGCCACTGTAATTGCAGATGTCTCAAAGCAGGCCCAATGGGCTTTCTGTACAACAAAAACATTGTGGAGACGAGGAGGTCTTTTCCACTCAACTTCCGAATTCCGATGGCTGTGGCTCTATTGTAAGTCCGCCCTCCCTGGACCCTGGTCCTACTTGCTGGGATCCATTTCTGTAATGGGGAGAAGAAAAATCCAAAATGAAAAGCATTTTATTTCCTTTACATTATTTGCTTAAATGCTTTTGGGTTGGAGTAGTTGGGAAACTCCCTCGAATGAACTTGGTCTTCCCTTACCTAGCATCTAAAAGCACAACATCACCTACAAAAATGCAAAAAGCATCACCATAAAAAACGTAAAGGGTGTTTGGTATCATCATTTCGTTTTTCATTTCCTACATCAGCATCTTGGCATAAATAGTAAAACATCGTGTTTGCTTGTACAAAATCACCAATTATCTTGTTTCCATGTGATACAATTAATGAAAAATTAAAAATAAAAAACATAATTTATTTCTGGGGTTGTTATATTTTAATAAATAATATAATCATCATCTGGTCATTATCGTCATCATCTAGTCCTAATCATATGGGGGCCAATTGCAACCTAATACAACTCTTCTTCTTTCTGGACTGACAATGTATGACAAGCTCACATTGGAAGAATATGTTATATTTTAATCACAACAATAGAAAGCTAAGAAGCTTTAAACACCTAACGAATACAAAGTATCTTCACCAAATATTGCATAAATCAAGGTTTAAAAAGTAATGGAAACAAAGAAAACAAAGGAGAAGAAGGTAATAAAAATACCATTGTAGTTTCTCATTGTGATATGTGGATGGTGGGTGAACCAATTTCAAATGAATTAGGCAGATAACCGATCGAATCAAGGGTTCTGATGTTTTTGATCATTGCAACAAAAATTAGCTGACCAGTTGAACCATCATCAATCTATGACCCAAACAGCTGAGTGGGCCGACAATCGGAATGATTTGTAATGAACTGACCATCAATATAAAATACATATGTTGGATATTAGGTCCATCATTTATATATTTACAAAAATGGTTGAATCAAAGTTGTCGTTATCAAGTAGAAACCTTGCCAAACTCAATCCGGGTTTAGCTAAATGTTTTGGATAGATAACTAGCAATACTGCATGAAAACATTGTAAATGAAGGATGGGTTGTTATAATGTAGATATTATCAAATGCATATGACACCATTAATACAAGAAGCTCTATAACTCGTGGGATTTCTTGAGTACATTGTAAATTTGTACCATCAATGTATTTCAACCCCCTCTTTCTTAAAGTGAATGGGATATCTTCTGAAGAAGAAGGTATTAGAAAAGATGATCCATTATGACCATACTTATTCATTATCGTTATACATATATTCCTTGCTGCCCTACAACAGGGCTAATAAGAACCAAGGGCATAAAACTAACAAAGCATGGTCCGTAAGTGTCGCATTTGTTGTTTGTAGAAGATAGCTCACTCTTTTATAGAAGTAAGAATGATACAAGTGATGCAACAAATTATAACTAGATTCGAAGAACTTTTACATGAAAAAAACGGTGAATTTACAAAAGAGTCTAGTCTTGTTTAGTAACAACATACATTAAAGGAAAATGAGATCAGTTCCTCCTTTAGCACTTAGGAATTAAACAAATAAACATAAATGATAAATACCTAGGCACTATATCGTGGATAGGAATGAGGAAATAGGTAGGGGTGTCCATTAAAAACTGAAAAATTGAATTGAACCGATCAGTTTGGTTTTGGTTCAGTATTTTGAAAATCTTAAGGACCAGTTCGACTTTTAGTTAACCTAGAAAAAAACTGGCGGTTAATCGAACGGTCCGGTACATATATTTATATGTATATTTTATATATATTTTTAATATATGTCATATATTATTTATAAATATATGCATTATATATATAAAAATACATATATTATATTTATAATTATTTATTTATAAATATATTGTATATATTATATATTTTTATAATATATTATATATCATTTATTATTTATAATAAAATATTGTACATATATATATAATATATTATAAATATAAAAACCGAAAAATCAAAGAACCGAATCGTCAAAAATTGAAACTGATTAACCAATTAATCGGTGTGGTACCGGTTCAGTTTCGGTTAAGAGAAATGGAAAAACCAGTAGGACCAATTCGGTTTGAAAAAAGTGTTTATGGTTCGGTTAACCGAACTGTGGACACCTCTAGAAATAGGAAGCCTATAAGGAACTAGTTGACAAAATGAAATAAAGATCATCTTCATGAAAAGCTTCTCTTCTCTCTCAAGTAGACATGACCACAATGATAAAATTTGTTACCCAAGCATTACCCATATATTCTATATCATCCTCCCTACTTCCAAAGAAGACAATTTTGGAAATGAAAAAAAAAAAGATCCAGAAAAGTTTTTGGTGGCAAGAGAGTTTAGATAGGAGCACTCTTCATATTGTTTATTGGGATAGAAACAAAAAGAATGGAGGTTTGGGCTTTATAAAACTAATTGAGATGAATAAAGCAATGTTTGTGTGTTAAAATTCTAAAATCTAAATATTTGATGCAAGGATCAATATTTACACAACAACCAAAGCAATCACATTCTTTATGTTCGAAACAGATGCTACAACTTGCAAGTGCTTTAAATTATGATTTCATTTGGCAAGTTAAGGATGGTTCATCCATTAATGTGTTTCATGATCTGTGGGTGCCTACTATAGCATGGAGGATTTGTTTCATTGTCAAGGTCAAGGTACCAATAACTAGGGGTGCTCACAATTTGGAACCATGAGTTTTTTTTTTTTTTTTTGAAATCGAACTAATACCATCGGTTTTTTATATTTTCAATATATAATATAAGTAGTATAAATATATAATATATAATTTATTTAATAATATAATTAGATTATTATATAGAGATAATTAAAAATATAATATATATTTATATTTATATATTATGCATATAAGTTTATATATAATATATAGATAGCACACACATGTACCGGTATCATCGGTTTTTACAAAAAACCAAACTGAAACTGAACCAATCAATTTGATTAACCAAAAATCTCGGTTTGATTTATTGGTTTTTCCATTTTTATTGAGCATCCCTCCTACCAATAACAATTTGAAAATATGGCTGAATTTGGAATGAGTATAAATACAAATATGTAGAATGCAAAATCTTGTATTTTGTATGTATTTGCACAATACATATTTGCATTTGTACTTCTTCCAAAGTCAACCTAAAGGATTTGCTTCTTGTAAATAGGGAATGGACCAAGTTTTTTCCGTAGGCGTGATAAAAGTTCACAACTCTTCTCAATTAACTGAGGATCAGATATCATAGAAACATTTTACCCCACATTTTCTTTGTCAAATTTGCCTATAAGATTTTTACTAATGTCTTCTTCTTCCATTCAGTCAATAGCATGGACCAAAATCTAAAATCTAAAGGATCCATTGGCCTTGTTTGGATAGACTTTTATAAAGTACTTTCATGCTTTTGAAAGTACAAAAGTATGAAAAGCACTACATACTGTTTGGATAGCATACTTTTTATTTGTACTTTCATACTTTTTAAAAATGCAAAAACCCCCAAAAGCACCAAGTTGGCTTTTATTACTTTGTGCTTTTGGTGAAAGGGTGTTTCCATTTTGTGCGAACAGTGGTCACATGTGACCACCCATTCGATAAAACCCCTCGACCAAAAACTCCCCATTCGCTTGTCGTTTTTAAGCCCTAGACCTTCTTGCTGCTGTCAATTCTTCCTCTGTCGTCACCTATCTCCGACAACCAAACCCACCAGGAATCGCCACTGGAAGCAGTACTGCTACTTCATCGGAATCACATGTATCTGGTTTTCATCTTTTCCCCCTTTTGAATGTTTTTTTTTTCTCCATTTGCTCCTCTATTCAATGGCCTGCCTTTGTCGGAATCACCCCTATTGGCTGCTGCTCAAAACCAGTCAGTCACTTAAGATCAATTGAATCAGATGACTATTAGTGTGTTTTTACCAAACGGGAAATGGTTCTTCTATTTTGTAAAGCATACTCTACAAATTTGTTTTGGGATATTATGTTCACAAGAAATAAAGCCCCAATCTCTATCTCATAAAGATAAGATTTGTGTGCTATTTCATCAGCATACAGAGACACCTCAACATCCTTTTTCAATTGTCGCTTTGCAAAAACACTTTGGTGTGGATTGAACATGGCTATGCTTTTTCCCCAGCTTTGAAATAGT